GCAGATTTACTTTTTAGTGTTTGTTTTCTCTATTGCTCACATGTTCCTTAAAGTGTTACCACCAGGACCCTGCATTCACTATATCTGGTCTCCCTCAGTAAACACAGCATGGAAATGTAATTATTTTAATAAATATAAAATGCTAAATACCTTTTTCTTATCAGCAGTATATAGTATTTTGACTTCTATCAATGTCTGGCATTGAGCACTGGTTAAAGCTTGTAGGAGTTTTTATTTTCCTCAGACTGTCCTGTGAGGCTTCATAACCCCTGACCCTCTGTCTGGACAGTGCTGATTGGCCTTGTGCTGATCACATGCACCCTCCCAAAGAAAAGAAAAAACTCCTTAGCAATACACACTAAACTGAGCATATGCAGAGTGACTCCTAGAGCTTTGTACTATAATCAGATGGACTAGGGACAGTAGAAGGGGAGGATCAGAAAAGGCAGCCTTTTAAAAAATGTGGAGGATTAACCCCTTAGGTTCCACAGTGAGTATAACAAGCATGCTTTACTGCATATACAGACTGATTTTACTGTTGTGCGTTTAGTAACACTTTAACTCTTCGGTCAAATCTTCTTAAGGCTGTTTTCTCTTAGGCTAAGTTTAGATGTGCAGCTAACGTCTAAAGCAATCTATTCAAGCGAATCGAGAAGCACTGTAAACATCCTGTAGTTGCATTGCATTTGTTGGTAAAAATTGGGTTGAAAACAGTGAGGAGGCATCACATTGTCACCTCACTGCCTGTCAACCCCTTCTAAAAGCAATCCAGACATGGGTGAGCGCTCTTTAGAGTAGTGGTGGAATTAAGAAAATCCGATAAGAAATGTTACATTCACCATGTGAAGGCAACAAATAGAAACTGACATTCCACATTTACTACAAAGATTATGGCTATTTAAGACTTTTGCGTGAATGCTAAGACATTTGCAAAGTATTTTTTTTAATAGATCAACCCCTTTCTTTCAGTGTGTTTTAGGAAGGATAAACTAAAAGCAAATGCACGCATATGTGTTGTTCTCATGCACATCAGGAGTAAGAGAATTTATTTTGGTGGTCAGTCTTGGTAATGGCATACATATACAACTTAAATAATTTATACCTGGATACAATTGTGGGCCACTTTTCCCAGGAGATAACCAGTAACATTTAGCACTAAATAAAGGCCCAATTTGTCCTGAAAAAACAAGGTAGAATTCACCTGGGATGTCTCAAGATTTTTCATACTTTTTAAAACGTGCCGTGACCGAAACATTGAAAAATGCTGGTGTGTTTTCTTTTAAATGTTAGGGTAGTTCGAGTCCTAGTCCACTGTTCCTGGGCAGTTCTGGCTTTTTAGTTATTCATAAAAGTATTTTGTATTGTATGATTTATTAAGAATGACTCTGCCCTGCATAGGGCAGTGTTGTTTTGGTGACATGTCTATTGTTCCTGGGTAGTAATGTCTTTTTTTAGTTATTCGCAGAAGTATTTGTTATGGTTTATTGAGCAGGCTCAATAAAGGGTGGTTTCTGGCCTAGCAGCTGGTAGGGTTCTCTGCTATATTGCCCTCCGGGACCCCTCCTATATACTGTTTTTGGCATTTTAAGTCATTTTCTATAAAAAAAATACAAATTTTAACAATGTAAAAAAAATTGCCTGGTAGGCAAGTGGTTAAACTTGCTGATGGTTGATAAAGTAGTAGTAATTTCAAAAAGTGATTGTAATATGCATGTGCTCCAAAATATTTTGATTTTAAGCATTATATGGGAAATGCATATAAATCCCCTTAATGGTCAAGCCTCAAAGCTCCATTACTCAAAAAATATTTCAATATTGTTAACACTGCTTACAATGAAAATTACATTATAGAGGATATAAACAGAAAAGCTTATTAGGCCACAAAATAATGCACGCTCACAAAATCAACAAGTAACTGTAAATTCATTCCAACATACTGTATAGCAAAACATTTTTTTTCGCCTCAAATTTTTAATTTGGAAAAGAAACCAGTTTAAAAAAAATGTGAAATAGACTTCGGCACATATTGGGATAGGCCACATGTACCAGTCAAAGATCACATTGACAGTTGTCTTTACAACTACCCATACAACTAGCTGTATAGGAGTCTTGGGCGGATAGGAAAAAGAAATTATCAATTGGTTCAACACTCTTGTAAATTAATTTTTTTTCTCATTAATCTAATCTAATTTGGAAAGGCATACACCTCTATAAAAGGACTCACAGCTGACAATGCATACTGTATCAGAACAAAAGCCATGAGGTCAAATGAACTGCCTGCACTGGAGGTTCCCAAGAGCACAGTGGCTTCCATAATTCTCAAATAGAAGAAGTTTGGCACAACCAGGACAACTAAACTGTGTAATTGGGGGAGAAGGGCCTTAGTAAGAGAGGTGACCAAGAACCCAATGGTAACTCTGACTGAGCTCCACAGGTCTTGGTTGTCCTTCTGGACCTTTGTACTATCTCCGTACATCACTGCAGCCCTCCACCATTCTGGGCTTTATGGCAGAGTGGCTAGGAAACTGCTCCTTAGTGCAAAACACATGAAAGCCTGCTGAAAGTCCTTCAGGTGCTTTTTTGCAAACTCCAAGTGGGCTTTCATGTGTTTTGCACTGAGGAATGGCTTCCATCTAGCCACTTTGCCATAAAGCCCAGATCGGTGGAGGGCTGCAGTGATGGTTGTCCTTCTGGAACTTTGTCCCATCTCCACGCAGGATCTCTGGAGCTCAGTCAGCACCTGATGGGAGATTCCAGTAACCAGGAACCATAAACAGCACAGTGTATTCATGTGGTTCACAATATATCCATTTGACCATAAGGCCCAATATATATGTATAATCAGATCCAGGCATATCTTCCAAGTCTTTCAGTTGTAAAATAAGTAAGATTATCTCCAATACATCACACAGTTCAGTATATAACAACAAAGGAAATATCCATCTAAAAAAAACAGCAAGACTGGAAGGTTGATAGAAAATAAACAGTTTATCTCATGTGGTTGTGTCCTAGAAGTGGTTAAGAGGTTTGCACCACAAGATGTGCTGCTTTTTTTGCTATCACAAGCAAATTTCTCATGAAAACAGTGCCTTTGGGACAGCCACATGTGATAATCTGTTTGCTTTCTATCAAAATTGCAGCCCCTCTGGTTTCAGTCACATGGCTGGTAGTGCTTCAAGACCAGGAGTTTTTTTTTGTTGTTTTATGGTGCACCTAGTTATGTTTCTCTACTGTCATTGCTGTGGTTCCTAATAGCATTATCAGCCAAATCTGTAGGCAATATCCTGTATGTCCTAAATGCCAAAAAAGAAACGGTTCAAAATATAATTAGATTTATATTGGCATTATTAGCATCACACTGAATTGCTTACATACACAATATTTTGAGGATAATAGACCAACATGAGGAGGCCCTAGTATTAAAATGTTATTTAAACAAAAAATGAAAAGCCCCAAATCCGCAGTCATGCTGGAGCTCAGATTTACACAGCAGGGCTTGGCCAGCCTTGCAAAGGGAAGTTAGCCTGGATTGGCAAAAATGCAAGCAAGAAGAACACAGATTGGGCATATTAATCTTGGCTTTTTTTTTTTTTTTTCCCTTTACAGTTTCAGTTCACTAGTTTACAGAGCTATACAATATGGCCCACAGACATTGAACATACTGTATGTCAGGCCTGATCTTTCAGTCATAGAGTAAAATTCTGTAGAGACGCAATAAAGGAGATAAATTCAACAGTACCCACCCCCAGTGATCCCACCTCAATCCTTAGATGCAAATGATTTGGTTGTAAGGGTTGCTTCATTAATATGACTTGTAACCATGTACCACGTAGTGGTTGCTAAAGGATGGCAACCTCCCTTGAAATTTTAGAAGTACTACACATTTGTTAATACTAGCCTGTTCAGTGGTTGCCTGTATTTCCACAATGGTCAGGTTACACAATGAGAATTATAAGGAATATTCAAACAACAGTAAATGTGGGCAACCAAGGACTGCTGGGGTGTTTTTGTTGGGTATGACATGGTTCAAGATACGCTCAGGGGGTGCTGTTCTAAAACAAAGGAATGAAAACTTACTGCTTAAATTTGACAGTTTTGAAGAGGAAAAGTGATTTTTTTTTTTTTTTTTTTTTTTTTTTAAAAAGTCCTATCACAAATTTTGGTAATGCACTTCTTGACAAGTCAGCGAGGTTGTATCTGTCCTTCCATCAAAACCTGCAATGCTTAAGTTGCAACAATTAGGAGAAAATTTCCTATACCACCAATGACAGCCCAAAAAAGAAAAACCATTTAATACGCTTGGGATATAATGGTAGAGGGAGAGAGCATGGTATGGAGTAGCAAGCATGTGGTTGGAGCTTCACCATACAGCTTATTCTTACATTAATACTGCTAATATATATTTTCATTTTGGCCTCTTGTAACCAGCTACCTTCAGTGCTGCTTTTGTGCCCACCTTGGTGACAAAAGGGTCGGCCAAAACATCCTTCCGAAACAATGGCTTGCCTGAAATCATCTTAACACAAATAGGCTGGAACCTGGCCCACTGACAACCATTTCCATTGAAAAAGAGATGTGGTCAGGAGACAAACATTTTCACTCATCAAATACTAAACAAACATCCATTAAAAGTTGTCAGAATCCATGTTCTATATTAAATATTGTGTAAACTGTCCTTCAAAAATAAATAGACCCCAAAGTTTCAGCATCATGGGAAGAAAAAAACTTAAAAAATATATGCAACCGGCATTGGAAGGGCATACAGCAGGGACTAAAATTGTTATAAAGCTTTGATTTTTCTTCTGGTGCTGTGTCCTGTATCCACTCCTGATAGATGAGTGTGTTAGAATAACCCATTTACACAGGTCAAAAAATTGTATCAACATGGCTTTAGTGATATAGACTTGCTTATTCAAGTTTCATTGTAGGAAATAGATTTCAGGATTAAAATTGTTTTTCTTTGACTGTGAAATTCTTTTCATTTTATTTCTCTTCTGAAGGACTCGTTTGATGTGGACCAGTTTGTGTCAGAATGCAGAAAGCGTGTGCAGTTGGAGACTCTTCGAGATGATCTAGAAATTTACTATAGACTACTTAAGACAGCAATGGTTGAGCTCATCAACAAAGACTATGCAGACTTTGTAAACTTATCAACTAACCTGGTAAGACTTTGTTTAAATGTTGTATAATGTTTTTAGTGAAGTTCTTTTATATAAACCCCCTGATTGTAGTGGGCATAGTTAAAGTACAACTAAGGGCTCCTGTATACCAGTTTTAAACCAGTGGTGCTCAACTTCTGGCCTGTGGCTTCCAGTAGCTCTGCGTTTCTGCACATCTTAGCTTGGTAAAGGAAGCCTATGTCAGTACAGTAAGATTTATGCTAGATTCCTGCATATGACCAGGTCTTGGTGAGCAGGTGGTGGGGTCTGAAGACTGGTCTATTGCAGTGGAAGGAAGAGGGAAGTTGATACGTAGCCGAGCCAGGGCGGGCAGGCTTCCACTTACCCATTCCAGGGTTTCTGGTGGCATGGAGCCTTCTGGGGACAGGTGACTTCTTCCTTTTTTCCTGGCAGTGGGTAGGCATGTCAGACGAGGACCAGGCCACTCGACGCCACTTGCAGGTATGTGGAGAAAGGCCAGCGTTACGTGGTGACTCCATTCAGGGAAACCAGGGGGCTACAGTGAAGCCTCTCACTGGGTTCTCCAGTGAAGGCCAGAGCGTGTTCCAAGCCTCGATTCCAGTACGACTTCCAGCAGGGGCAGGACTTACGGAAATATGCGGCGCCGGTCTGCTTCTTCTCCATGTGAGGCTGGTGAGGAGCTCCCATGGGGACCCAGGAGCCTGGCGAAGGCAGCAAAGTCCTGAAGCACCCCGCAAGATGGAAGATGAGGCAGTGGCTGCAGCCAGTGAGAAGACCACGGGTGGTGAGTCTGACTTGACTGATGGGGGAGAGACCTTGCTTCCTCCCCTGTAGGTGTAGGGGGCAAAAGGGATTTTCTCCCAGCGTCTTCCAGGACAGTCCCTTGAGACGTAGAGCTCCTCTTAATCCCCACTCCTTAAAGGCGGACCTCCAGGCCTCCATCCTCAGTTTTTTTTTTTTTTTTTTTTTTTTTCTTTTAGGGTATCGTGATCTGGAGGAACACACGTACAGCTTACCTCCTCTCCCGATGCAATCTCTCCATGGTGAGTGGAGTGGGGCTGCGGGTCGGATCACCTTCAGCCCTCAGTGGAGGGACCATCGGTGATAGGTCACCCGCAGGAAGAACGGGGAGTGCCCGTCGGTGAGCCCGGAGCATCCGTTCCCCCAGGAACCTATGGAGCCCTTCCTCCCCTTCTCTGGCATGGCTGTGCAGGGCGCCGAGCAGAAGAAGGGCCGGGCGTGGCTATGTGTTCAAGAGCAGAAAGTGTGGTGACGTCATCAGCGGGCACCAGGAGACGCTGGTTCTGCTCTCCATAGAAAAGGCGCAGGCATCCAGATCGGACTGTCGGTGCGGCGTTTTGAAGCCCAGCAGAGGCAGCGGACTATGCCAAACGAGACGCGGTGGAAGCTGGCTCGTCACAGCAAGCAGACCCTGGTTCCGGCACTAGCTCCTCTCAGGCTTGGGGACAGTCCCTCTTGCTGACTCCTGAGGGGTGGGTGATTGTTTTCCCAGTCTCTGAGGGCAGGTGACAGTGGGGCACACTTCATATTCTCCCCTAGCACAGGGTGTGTGGAAGGAGATTAGGGCTGAGGGTCCTCATTTCCTGTCTTTTTTTGCTTCGGTTAAGACCCAGGACAGGACCCAGAATCGGACCCCAAAGTGTGCAGTGTGCGCGGTTAAATTGGGTTCTACTTGTGAAAAATCCTTATGTTGCAACTGCGTAGATAGACTAGTTAAAGATGAGTCTTTCACATCCTGTCACAAAGTTCTCACCTCTAAGGATGGCATGACAGCTACATTCCAGTCCTTCTGATCCCTGCTGGATAGGATGCAGACACGACTGGGCCCTCGGACCAAATCGGCGGCTACGGCAGTAACAGCAAGGCAAGAGGACCCGGAAGAGGGCCCTCAGTTCCTTGATTCTTCTCAAGCGGGTTCAGATTCAAGGGCAGACAACAATGAAGAGAATAGCGCCTCCAGAAGTTCCAGGTACAAGTTAGCCCTGGAAGATGTGGCCGACCTCCTGAAGGCTATCAACGAAACCTTAGAGATTGAAGAGGAAGAAGTTTGTTTATCTAAGCATGACCTCATGTATCGGGGTCTTCATGCCAAGAAGAGTAGGGTCTTTCCAGTCCATAGTTCCCTGGTTAATACCATTAAGCAGGAGTGGGAAAACTCTGAAAGGAAACCCTTTTTTTTTTTCAGGGTGTTTAAAAAGATTTCCTTTTGACGAGGATGGGTCCCAACCTTGGAACAAGGTCCCAAGATTGGATGCCCCCTTATCCAGAGTTTCCAAGAGCATAGATTTGGATTTTGAGGACATGAGGGCCCTAAAGGACCCCATGGATAAGAGGGGAGAGATCTTGCTGCGTAGAGCATGGGAATCCTCATCTATTCGCATTAACCCGGCTCTATCAGCCACCTGTGTAGCTAGAAACCTTGAGTGCTGGCTTACGCGGTTGCAGGCTCACTTGGCAGCAGTAACCTCAAGGCAGCAGATCTTAAAATCCTTGCCTTTACTGGTTAAGGCGGTAGGTTTTCTCGTGGATGTCTCGACAGAATCCTTAAAGCTAGCCGCAAGGACTTCAGACTTGGTAAACTCAGCCTGGCGGGCCTTATGGTTAAAAACCTGGGCAGGGGATTCAGCATCTAAGCTGTGCTTTGCCCTTTACAGGTGACAACTTTTTTGGTCCGGGACTAGAGGAAGCTTTAGAGCGTATGGCCGACAAAAAGAGTTTTTCCTGAGAGTAAAAAGAAAATTTACCCCCAGGAAAGTTTTTCATCCAAAATCGCTGGTACACCAGATTAAGGATGGTTCAGCCCAAAAAACACTGGACGGGACACAAAAATAGGGGAAAAGGGGGGATTCTATTCAATCATCCTCAAGGCCCCTCCAAGCCACAATGACTTGAGCATCCCAGTGGGAGGAAGACTGGGGACCTTTCTCCCTCAGTGGGCTTCAATCTCCCTGAATACCTATATTTTAGATCTAATAGAGAGGGGATACGGTTTGGGGTTCGACTCCTGTCACCCTGCCAGATTTCTGGTAACCAATCTTCTCAACAACCGAACAGAGCACAAGCTCTGCACAGAATAATTGGAGACTTGGTGGTCCAGCAGGTCCTAGTTCAAGTCCCTCAGAGCGAGCAGGGAAAGGGATGTTATTCTCATGTGTTTGTAGTGGGGAAGCCCTCTGGCAAGTTTCGCCTAATTTTAAACCTGCACCCCCTAAATCAACCACTGAGGTACAAGCACTTCAGAATGGAATCTATTTTTTTTCTGTAAAAAATATCCTTTTCCAAGGTTGTTTTATGGCCACGTTGGATCTGAGGGATGCATATTTCCATATTCTCATTCGTCGGGCGAGAAATACCTGAGAATAGCGGTAAATATGGGTTCACAGATCCTCCACTGGCAGTGTCAGGCTCTACCCTTTGGGCTAGCCTCAGTGCCAAGAATTTTTACGAAGGTGCTGGCGGAGGCCTTAGTTCCCCTAAGGATGAAGTTCATTACTATCATTCCTTATCTGGACAACCTTCTCTTTGTGGCCAAATCTCACCAGCAGTTCGCTGAAGATCTGCAGGTGGCTCAGGATTTCCTTCAGAGCCTGTGCTGGCTTGTACTTGGACTAGTCATCTTTAACTCCCTCCCAGAGAGTGATCTATCTGGGATACGAGATCTCTTCAGTGAAGGAGAAAATCTTCCTTCCTCGGGAAAAATTTATCAAGAAAGATCAGACGCTAGCAGAATTGCAATGCAATCTGTCGGTGTCAATAAGGAAGGTTTCAAGGGCAGTGGGTCTCATGACTTCATGTTTCCCGGTTGGTCCCGTGAGCAAGACTCCACCTCCTCTTCAGGCTTTTCTTCTGATGATTGGGAACGGAGACAGATCTACCTTAGATCTAGCAGTCCATCTCCTGTCCAGAGTGAAGAGATCCCTCTGGTGGTGGCGGAAGGAAGTAAATCTGGCAAGGGGTCTGGAGTGGAACCAGCCTTCACCGCTCATTATTACAACCGATGCCAGCAGTTATGGTTGGGGAGCCCATCTAGGCGATATGGCAGCCCAGGGGTTGTGGTATTTGGAAGGAGTCTCAGAGATCCTCGAATCAGAGAGAACTTATAGCAGTCCAAAGGGCATTAGATGCCGTTGGAACGAAGCTTTTGGACAGTCGCCTACAAATTCGGTCAGACAATATGGCTACAGTGGCATATATCAACAAGTAGGGGGTACACGAAGCCCCTCTCTGCAGGAGATTGCAGGCAGCATTCTATCCTGGTCCGAGCGAAATCTGCTCTCGGTTTCTGCCATTTATCTGAAAGGTTCACAAAACTCCGTAGCGGACTTCTTAAGTCTGCGGCCTGTCAGTCACGACGAATGGTCTCTCAACCAAGAGGTATTTTCAAGCATAACTCTCAGGTGGGGCATACCAGAGGCCGATCTTTTTGCTTCCCAGGAGAACAGAAAGGTCAGCCAGTTCTTTTCCCTAAATCTGCGAGAGCAGGCCTTGGGGGTGGAAGCCCTGACAAGCACGTGGGATTTCAACCTCTTACGCATTCCCTCCAGTGAGACTGATCCCAGTGGTCCTGCAGAAGTTTCTGATAGAAAAGACAGATCTTATTCCAAAAACACCCTGGTTTTCTCTGCTGCAGAGCCTGCTCAGCTCCCCCATTCCCACTTCCAGAGAGGGAGGATCCAATCTCTGAAGGTCCTGTTCTACATCCTCGGATCAGAACCTTTGAAGTTGGCTGCATGGTTTCTGAAGAGCAGCTCCTGAAAGCTCAAGGGTTTTCAGACACCGTAATAAAAACTTTAGTAAACTGCCGTAAACCAGTAACCAGAGCTATTTATGCGAAGGTCTGGAAGAAATTCAACTCCTGGCTGTTAAGTAAACCGCGGGGCCCTCCAGATATTCTGGCAGTTTTAGATTTCTTTCAGGAAGTGGCGGATCGGGGGCTCTCGATCAGCACCTTAAAAGTGCAGGCATCAGTCCTCAGTATTTTTCATCAGGTCCCCCTGCAG